AGCTATACATTCAGTTGTTCTAACGACCGATATATTCTGACGTCTGCATTTGAACCGATAACGCATGTATGTGAAGCACAAACTCACATAGGTAAAAGAAGTCAGCGTCACATACAGAACCTTCTCCAAATCTCGGTGTAACAGCGAAACGACTGCGCCGCTAATCGCAAACGAAATATAGAATAGGGTTTGGAAGATCGCCAAAGGAAGAATGATGCGAATAACAGTGCGATTTTCGAGAAGCTGATAGGAAGATTTAAGATCGTATGCTTTTCTGAAAAACAACAGAAATTTTCTCCAGTTGGTAAACATTCCCCAATCTTCATAAAAGCTTGAGATTCATTGGTGAGATTGATTCAAGTTTGTTCTTCCTTGCAGAAAAACGATTTTGTAATCAGTGTTTGCCCTAATTTGCTGCGAAATGTGATGAAGCCGTACGTTTCACTTTCTGAAACACTACAGGTCGCTCGCTGTGGCTGCAGCCAGAGAAAAAGAATTATAGGAAATGATTAAGTAAGTTCCCCTCCACCACCACCGAACGCGCTATTGTTATCAAATTTGGGCAGAGTTCTAACTGGTCTCAGAATCAACCATTATAAGAAGTCATGCTCGTGAGAGGTGGGGTGATGAGGAGGGTACCGGGGTCGGGGTGGGGGAATGCTTTGAAGCTTGTGTGATGGATAGTCAGAGTTGAGGAAGGTATCTTTCAATATCGATTTCGTCCGTGAGATCATTTTCATCGAAACCCGTAGCGACCCTAGCCAGCACTCGTTACATCGCCCACGAACTTTGTAGTACCTCAGTGTGCCTCCTGTGCCCTTTAGCCTCTGTAAAGCTACCAAATGGTATCATTGATTTAATTACAGGGCCTCATCTGGCAAGGTGGGAGGGACAGTCGGCACGACAGCTCACATCCCCTAGAGTTTTCCAGTTTTCGCAGAGCGTAGGAAAGTGGGACGGCAAAAGCGGAATGGTTAACGCAACTAGGAAAATTACCCTCCCGTCAGAAAATGGAAATGGCGCCAGCAATTGTTTCTTGTCGTTCCTCTTCTTGGTAATTCTCCTCACACATCGGATGCTGGTAGTACGTTCTCATTCTCTTACAGATTAGTTCATAAGCGTTCTCTTTAAACAGCCGAGCAACCTCGCTTCCAATTTGAACCGGTCTTCGTCAGAACTTGTAAAACAAATGCTTTTTTCTGCAATCCAATGAATAGCAATAGACCAAGAGTTTGAAAGAAACATATGAGTCCTTCATACCGTTTGAACCGAAGCGAAGTCACGCGCACACATTTTTTCGCCGCTCTGGTACTCGAATTGCCTTTTTCACGAAAAAGTAATTTAACGGGAAATCACTACCTTTTTGACAAGCTTCTGTTCAGCAGAAACAGCGTCGCAATACCAATCAATGTTAAGAGATCAAATCCACATATAGTGAGTTTTAGTACGATTACACTTTGCGGTGTAGCAATTCCATTCAAGATGCAGTAGTTTGTCGGAAGAGTCTGCGTAGCGCCATGAGTTACAATGAGCATAGCCATCAAAGAGACGGCAATCTATAAGATGGATGCATAAATTAATAAGAAATTGGTTACTCTTCGAAAACGGTGACCATAAATAAGAGTAATACTATACAGTGAAGCCTGCAACTTCCAAAGGTTTGGTTGGTCAATATTCATACAACATTGACAGCTTTTTTCCCAGGGATTTACTCTGATTAGCTTAGCAGACGATATAGTTGGCTCCCGGATCTGGTACACTAAGCGTTTTCGCAAGAATTAAGGCTAACTAACACCATTTCCAGAGGGTAGGGGAGAAGCCCGACATCGCGGATATTTCCTTCGAGACGCGTGTCGATTTAAAGGACGAATTCACGATGAAAAAGCAACCCATTTCAAATTAACCTAGGGATGGTGAGTGGTACACGAAAGAAGGAAGAACCATGAGAAACGGCCCAGAACCCGAGAAATGGTACCCCTTCCTTGCCCGTTGATTCGAGCATTGATGCGACTCTCATCGCTGTGCCCTCTTCAACACTACGCTCTCTCAGCTATCTAATCACTCGCCACGTATTGAACTACGGCGAGTGATCAGATGATCGGTGGGCGGAGATCGCCGGACCCGCCAGCTTTGAGGCATGATAGGTCGCCGAGGTCAAATTTTTCCATGCGAATTGCGCGTCAGTTCGCACCCTCAGGAGGTCCGTGGGTCCCTCAACTAGGTCAGTTTCCCTTTCTTCGACCTTCATTCTAATCGTGAATTCCTCCTTTAAGTGTGAAGTTTCCTGTGAATATGTTGGATACTTGGGCCTAACTCTATAATGAGGACAAATTAAGAAGGGGATGACCGACATGGGGAAACGCTGGATCAATTCCGTGAACGTTGCATCCAACCTCCCACGTAAGCTAAACTTGGTACTGTAGATGCCGTATCAGAAATTATGTCCACATCAATGAACACGAATATCACACTTGGTTGACAATAAAACTTTTCAGAGTAGACGCTATGGGGGCCACGAACGACCATGAGCAGATATCACTCGAGCTTCTTATGAGTTTCGCGCGGTGTCTTCCATGAAAGAAAACTCTAATAAGGAGTGGGCCAGTGTGTGTTTAGCGGCATTACTGAGACTTCATCTACGGCTGTTTGATTGGTTCGATTTGCACTGGCGGGCCACTGCTCTTCACCGCAGAGTGGCCTTACCATCGCAGGGCTTTTTTATTACTTTGATGATTATGGTGCATGTACGGCTACGAGCCGCTGTTCGCATAGATGGTGTGATAACAAGAACTCTATCAGTGATCGAGCAACACTCACACAGAGAGCAGTAGCGCCTATGGCCAGATTCGGCCCGTAAGATTCGTAATCGTGACGCTTCCACAGTGCGACACCTCTTTCGACAACCATGGCAACCTGCAATAAAGATGTTAGCATGATGGTGTCAATGTTGCAACATTTTGAGTTCACGAAGAGGGGTCGTATACCGTAAACCTCTCGTCGTGGGGTCGACGGACTATTCGAATTCGGTCCTTTGAACTCACCCCACTCCATTGTGATGCTCTTGACTATTTTCTCGCCTGAACAGCGGCTCATGACTACGGTGATCTCACATATTCAAACGTTTGCCATGCTGTAATTGGCTCACCCATCCTCGTGTCCCCTTTCCCCTTCAACAATTAGTTTTAGGTCAGTGCTCTCACATCCTCCTAGATTTGAAGCGAAATTTTCTAACGTCTGCGCTCCAGCCATTCGCGGCCGTACAGTGGAAAGTCCAAGTAGTCCGTAAACTCTCAGCGTGGCATGCCGCGCGCAATGAATCATAGTCTGCATATCTTATCTGAGGCATACTTGAAATACATTGAAGAAGAATTGGCTGATAAGAAATCACTAATAGAATTGGTCTTACATTATCAATTATTCTTCAGCTACCATCTGAGAGATTTAGAAAAGGTATAAGTCCTATAGTTCTAGCAGCACAGCCAGAGACGAATCGGAAGTTCAATCGATAAAAACGGGGCAATACACTGAATCGTGCACGCCCTTCTTCGCAGAAGGAAAGTTGCTAACACTCCCGAATGCGCCATGCAGTCAAATTACATCGGTGCTTGCGGAACATTTGAATATGTTCTATACCTACACGATTGGTGTGACGTGGCTCAAATAAAGATCAACGGCTCTATCTTAGCATATGAAGCAACAATCCTCGAATTGGCCCTGCACCTTCTACAGATTCTCTCATCTTCTATCTTCCTATTTTCTTAGCGGCTTCGACGCTGCTAAGAGCCTCACAGAGAAACATAAGCGAGATCAAAATTTGATCCATCCAGGGCGGCATCGTTACGCAATCCAAAGACTCACTTGAAAGGCGGCGAAAGATACCATACAGCTTGCTATTGGATAGCGTAGAGAATAGCACAGTATTGGGGACAAGCCTATGTGGCAGGGATCATAAGTGAAGTACTGAATCAGGTGGATTGTCTGAAATAAGAACAAGAAATTATGAGTGAGTCCTTCCCAGCAGTTTTGCTGTTGCTGAACAAAATTCGATCAAGGTTACGCGAAGTTTTCGAAAATTAGAGTCTGGGCCTTAATTTTGCCGAGTTTATTACCCTAAAGTGGAGGTAGCATTGTTTGCAGAGCCGGTACTTTTCGGTTTGCCTTTTGATGATTGTGCTTGAAGTCTTGTTGAATTGTTAGTTCAGTGCTGACTCTAGGTTTCATGATGTATCC